CCCCAGGCCTGGTGCCCATCCGAGTTGTCAAATCTGCCCGATGAAATATAGCAGCTCTTCGGGGGTGAAGGAAGCACATACGGATGTACTTTGGAACAAATAATCTATGCAAAGCAGGACTGAACCATCTCAGATAGCAAAATGGGGTGGGTACATATTAAGACAGCCAGGCTCCTCTGAAAGGGTCTTTCAGATTTACCCCAGGGTGGTTTTGTCATGACAACACAACAAGGAATCCATTTGGTTAGGAATGTAAAAATCTGAACTTCCCTTAAAAGAACATTAGACTCCTGCTAATCCCAACCCCCCGTTTTTTTCTTTGTTTTGAACTCCAAAGTACTTACGACATCCCTGAGCCAGCTAATCCTTTTGTTTTAATAAAATGAGACAAGAGACTGATGGGCTGCACCTCTCCCTCAGCTCCCTCTGAAGCTGCTTCTTCAACTTTTCCCAATCTAGTAGTCTCTTTGCCTAAGGCTGCACCATAGGCAGATGGGAAACATATTGATTTTTTAGATTTAGCAGGAAACATATTGATTTTTTAGATTTAAACTAATCAAGTATTTTTATATTTGTAAATTCTTTTAAACTCTGTTCTATTTACTACTAATAAAGTCAGCTTTTTTCAGTCATCTCTAACTGGATATTCAGAGCTTAATACTTTATTTCATTTGTAGGCAGCTGTCACTGTAAAATTCTAGAAGTTACCAGAAAGCTTTTTTAAATTTAACCAATGATTTTATTTTTTACTTGAAACGTGAACTTTCCAAAATTAAACTTTGAAGATGAAAGATACACAGTGGTATAGTGTTTAACATTCCTTTCTACAGGTTAAGAAAGGAAAGTTTGTGGGAAATAAACACATTAAGGGTCCTTGAGGCCAGTGTAAGTTTTTTGTCTACTCTCTCCTGAGAAGAGCTAAAAATGTCTGGTTCATACATGTTGGAACCCATACAGAGTATATACATGCTCCCCAAAGGAGCCCACAGATTTATTCCAATGCACACTAGCAATTATATTCTATCCCACAAATGTGTTGCTCCCCAGTAGAGGGCAATGGTTAAAAAGGGAAAGTGGATGTGAACAGACTCTCAGCTAAGCAAGTTCATAACTTCGAGCCAGTCCTTGTCTCAAAGGAGTTCTATAATTGATTGGTTTCAACAATTTAGGCAATCCAACTTGATTCCTTTAACAAGTATTTCAGCAATTCAGATTAAATTACAACTCAGCCTATCATACACAGATGTGGTTTTGATTGATTCCCATAGATGGCTGTATAATCTAAACCTATTCTGTTGTGAGAATATTTTAATGCCTAATGAAAATGGGCATGAACAAATAAAAGCAAATTGCCCTTGGCCCATTCTATTTCTAACTTCTTTCACAAGGGGCCTTGGCATACAGCAATACCCAAATGAATGTTTAAAAGAGATCCTAACAACTAAGTCATCTGGCAGCAGAACCGATCCTGCCAAGAAAGCAGGGTTATCTTTCTTCGGGGTTTCAAGCAGAAGTCGGACGGTCATCTGGCAGGGATGTTGGATACCTGCACAGATCAGAAGGTCCAACTCAACCTGCTCCGTGGCCCCCACCCACCTGGATTCTCCTTTAGAAACATGCACTGCATGGAGTTTTACAGTATACAATGTAGAGAGCCACAAATACAATTGCTTAACCGAAGATCTCAAAAGCAATAGCATCATTAATGCAAATGCTTCTTAGGATTTTAAGTCATCCTTAATAGATCAGCACAGAAAGTGATTCGAGAAACTGATTAAATGTCCCATATTTTATTGGATTATCATTTATATGTCTTGGAAGTATACACTATACTTCTCCAGGAATAAGGACATATTGCTGCAAAACCAAGAAAACAAATAATTACTCTTATATTTTAGCACCACCACTTATAACAGAATAAGAACATCTGTACAGTATGAAAAGAAAGCAATCAAGCCAAATCTTTAAGAATCTCTCTGTCATCCCTATTAGCTCCATGCCCTAGGCCTAATTCTTAACGATCAGTGTTTCTCCAATAAGGGAAAAGAGACACGTTCGTATTTATCGGTTAGTGCAGGCACAAGCCAGCATCTGACAAAGTACTGAGAAGTGAGAACACCATTTGTGTTAACCGATTCAGCCTCACTGGATGATCCTAGGACTAGCACTGCGGATGTGAACGGCAAATACTCTCTAAGATATATATGCAGCTTATTCCCCCCCCCCCCTTTTAATATGTCAGATTCATTCTGCATTATGCAGAGCTTGCATTTTATCAAGAAACCCTGCCTAGAATATATGGCAACAAAACAAGCATGGCCAGTTTTGGCTTTTTATTTGAAGTCTCCCATGTTCTTTCAAACATAGACTCACTCAGCGGAAAAGAGAACACACAGCCTTCCAGCACTGGGTGAAACCCTTTCCAACAGGTAGTTGGGCAAAGGAGCAGAACACCTTGGAACAGAGCTCCAGCCGCCCACCTGCCTCTACCTGTCCCTTCCCGAATCCCAGAGACGAGTCCTTGGTCCAACCAAGACATCCACAGTCAACATTTCATAAAGAGGTGGGGATTATTTCCCCAGGGCTCTGGAGAATGGAATCTGAAAACTTAAAACTGTGGTTTAACTATGCTTATGCTTTAGTTTCATATGAGCCGAAGTGGTTCAGAAATTGATATGCAATAGCTTAGCATTATCTGTTGATGGAGAGATGGCCATAACTATTCAATATCCAAAACCAAAGTATAATTTAACAAAAGAATTTGCTTTAACCTAGACTAAATCAGAGCTAGTATAGGTAACCCCCGAGGTATGACAGTTCACAGTGACCATTCGAAATTATGCAATAACCCCCCCAACACAATTCCAACATTACAAATACTGCAGCACCACAGCAGTCGTTCACCCTTACGAACGACCGCAGAGGCATTGCAAAATAAGATGTTGAGATTGGAGAAAAGCAACTAAGATAATCAAAGGCCTGGAGACTAAAACATATGACGAATGGCTGCAGGAATTGGGTTTGGCTAGTCTAAAGAAAAGAAGAAATAGGGGTGACACGATAGCGGTATTCAGTATTTAAGGACTGCCACAAAGAAGAGGGGGTCAAATTATTCTCCAAAGCAGCAGACAAGAAACAATGGTTGGAAACTGATCAAAGAGAGAAGCAACCTGGAATTAAGAAGAAACTTCAGTGAGAACAATTAACCAGTGGAACAGCTTGCCTTCAGAAATCATGGGCGCTCCATCACTGGAGATTTTTAAGAATAGTCTCTTGTCTGAAATGGGTTCTCCTGCTTCAGCAGGGGGCTGGACTAGACGACCTCCCAGCTCTACTCTACTCTACTCTACTTTCCTGTTCCATCACTAAGTCCCCTATGGCCTTCCCCAGCCTGAGATACCTCATGTGCACTTAACAACTTGCACATTTGATTAGTGAATGTGTGGCCGAAAGCAGGGAGTTTTCACATTCATTTTATGTGATTCACTCCAACGAATCCTTGGGTTACGAATGTAATTGGCAGGCTCCATTACATTCATAACTCCAGGACTACCTGCAATGGAGCTTTTAAAGTCTTTTAAAGAATGGCAGAAAGAGTCATCTGTCTTTGTGTTCAGGTGTTAACTATCTAGACTTTCTTTTCCAAGTTACTATATGGTGTGTCTCATTCAAACATAGTGGTTAAAAATATAATAAAAGGTAACTCGGAATAGCTTTAAACTTCTCTTGGGAACAGAAGAGGAGAGGAAGGTTCTTATATTTAGAGATAATGGTTTTGGCCCTCTGCTCCTGAGTTTATTAGGAAGCTTGTCATGCCAGGTGCTAATGCAGAAGAAGCTTTTCTGAGGGCATCCAGCATTAAGCCTGGCTTCCAGGTTAATTGCAACAACTTGCATCTGGGAGAAGGAAGAGGAAGAGGACCAGCTGATGAGGGAAAACAGAAGGAGCATGTAAGCAAGCTGGAGCTCCAGCTTCCATTCCGAGCAGGCACTGTGAAGGCTCCACTGGCTTTACTCCTCCCTGATCAGCAGCAGTGCATTCAATTCACCCCGCACAACTCTTGAGTTGTAACTCATCCAAGAGCACCTGCGCCATGTGTTGCTGAATAAAAGCCTCCATTTGCACAACAAAGAAGTGAGTTCTTGTGTGTTCTGAAAGGGAGGGGGGATGAAGGACCCTGCTTTTATCTGATATGGATTTTAAATGCAGATTCATTTAACAATTTTCTTACTTTATTGAATGAAACATGGTTAATATTTCAAACTCCCAAAGTGTAAGATTATCACAGTTGATAATGATTCTTCTACAAAGCCCCTCCAAACCTTTTTTCAGAGTCTTTTATTCTCAAAGGATAAAAAAACAATTGGGTAAGAAGGATCAACAAACCTGCTGTTTGAAAGCCTTTCTGATGCTCAGCTCAAGTTAGAAAAGGCTTAATGAAGGTGCTGAAAAGCCACCAGGGCTTCACAATAAGCACCAGACTTGGTGATTTATTCATATTAATAACTTCATCCTATTGAAGCCAGCTGAGCTGTACAGGTCCTACCAATCACATCTTAAGGTCTTCAATACCACTGGGATCATTAGCAATGTAAATTTTTACCATTCTTTACTATTAATCTCTGTCCTCCTGTTTTGCAACATA